TGCGTCCTATTTAGTATCATATTTTCATTTAGTTCTAAAAAATTATTATCAATAATGAAGAAATATGACATTAATGTACTTTATATTCCTGCTATCATTAATTATCATGTGATATGATAATACAACCCTTGAAAATTTAAGATATAAAAAATATGTCAACTCGAGTTTGAAAATAATCGTGAGCAAAAGTACATACTTTTTGAAAGTTTTATTGCCTAGAGATTTGTGGGCATCAAAAATAAACTGTAACTGATACATTAAAAGAAAAGGAAAGTAATGAGAATCAAATGCTAAGAGTTGAGAATGAGATTCCTGTCAACGTATGGATAAGATCATCAAATAAAAATTATCAAATTAAAGTTATTGATATAGAGTATCAATGGAGGTATAAACTAAATCAACAAAGAAAATTAATAGAGAATGTTTACATAATAGGTTTTGCCTTCTATTGGTGCAACAATGATGATAAAAAAAGGTGCTTCAAGATTGCATCGTACAAGTACATGGTGGAGTCATATTTGAGGTGGAGACAGCAAACTACCAGGGCAAAAAGCCAATATAACGCTGACAAAGCATAATCAAAGGGAAGTGTAAGAGGAGGTAACTTGAGTTTAAAATGTTGAGTGCATCATCTACAGTAAGATGGTTATAGAAGAATGGAAAACATTTAAGCAATTGCGTTGATACAATAGAAGGGGAGAAAAAAAAAAGAATAGTATAAGTACTCAATTGTCCTCATAATATAAGCATATACGAGCTAGCTACATGCAAGAGGAGAACAAAAAGAAGAATACAATAGATGCTGACAATCCTAATAATGAAGAAATATGATACTTATAAATAATGTAAATTCTCGCTATGAATAGTTAACACACAAGGCAATCTAAACAGATGGCAATAGGGTCAAAATTAACATTTCTTTCATGCATGGTGTATCCATACAACATATAGGTATTAACAGACAAAATCCACTTGAAATTACCTACACATTTGCCTCTCTAAAGTAACAATACTCCCAAAAAATCCCATTATACCAGAGTGTTCACATGGCTCATTTTGTTAACAACAACCCTTGCGACTCCTAAAACCATCTCCCCTTGTTGCACATCTCTCAGTTAGAGTGTCACCAATTTTATCTGAATATCGTTCAAGGATTTGTAGAAATTTATGACATATCTGGTAATGGGAGTTTAGCAGTGGAATAGTTAGATCTAGAGATGGTGAGCATGTTAGAGGCCAATTAGGCTATGAAGTATGAACATCAATACAAGACATGACACACAAAACACCATCATAAAGAAAAGGACACAACACACGGTGGATAAAAAATTTACTTTTATAAAATAAAAATAAAATACATGATAAAAAAAGTAAAAAAAAAACAATATACAGTGAAATAAACTACAAAATGTACGATATAAATATCTTATAGAAAAACAAGAAAAAATAAATGTAAGCTTAATTACAATTACATTTCAATATGACATCAAATATACATAATGTCCAACCGCATATGATTAATATAATCAATTAGGCATGATTTTAATGTTGCTTTGTCGAAATAAAATTCCAACAAAAAAAAAAATCTTAAATAAGAGTATATAATTTCAAATTTTTTATGTACCATACATAAATAAACACATTAATATATCACTAATCAGAACCAGCAAACTCATATCCAGACACTTGTTGATGGGTCCGACTTGAAACAAATTTTTTTGAACTAAGAATAATGGTGCAGGTTCTTTTGGTGTCGTCATACAATCTGGTTGTGTTGGTTTTGTCATATTGGAAGTGTTCTTGCTCCATGGCTAAAAGGCCTAGCCTAGATATCATCAACAAAACTAATTTACATAAATACAATCACCAAATGAATAGGAGCAAACCAAAAAATGAAGGAAACAAATCAACAAAGTATAGCCGCTAATAATGGAAAGTTGTGGTGAAGTCTATTACTAAAGAGAACGAGGCAAAGATCTTATAGTCATTGATGTCTAAGCTGCCACATGGCCATATATGGCTATCTCCAATAGTACTTTTTTGAAGAGGTCAATGTGGAATTTCTATTGATACTTTGCCATGGGCTGAACATAGAATCACTGATTTTATAGAAGGGTATAGCCAGCGATACGAAGCTTAAATTTTGCAGATTTCAAAATTCGAGAAACCTATCCCCTCAGGGTTTTAAAAATTAAGAATCTGTATATTTCACACAATTTGATGATGAAGTATCCCTTCACTATCTCTTCATTTTCTTCATTTGGAAAAACATTATTCCAATTTCAAACGCAAGTTCAATTTTTATAGCCATCATGGTAACACAATTTATGTACATTTTTATGTTGCTATTCCAATCTAGCTTGTGCCACCATTCTATTTGACAATGGAGAAAAAGAAACAAAGCAGTAAAGCAAATTGTGGTAAAGCTGGAAATCGATAAATACAACCTAGCATTCCAATCTGGAGATAGGTGGAGGTAATCAACAAATCAAAAGGTAAATTTGTCTAAACATAACAAAGGTCTACATCTGAACAAATTAATATTAACAGAAAACAACAGAGTTTTCGCTCATTCTTCATGAAACCTGTTAATTTCTCTCTTTTTTAAAGTCCTGCATTCCACCCATCTCTCTCCAAATTTCCCATCCATGTTCAAGTTACTTAAGCACTCATCAAGGCATATTCAAGCAACTCCATTTTGTCAATATCACAGCTGTTGCCATTTGTCAAAGGCAAATGTTATCAAAAGTTGATGTGGAATAACAGAATAAACAAGATGACCTGTCTGTCTCTCGCAATAAAGGTTAAACAAAAGTATGCATTATTTTCCTTTCATCTAAACCCTAAATATAATTAAAATGAAACTAGTTCGAAACCATGAGATTTGCATTAAACTGCCTATGGGAACAATAACAAAGGAACAATAACAAAAAAATGCAGAAAAAGAAAGATAGCAGGGATTGGTAAAACTATAATACTCTAAATAAGTAACGAAGTGATACTTCTTCAAAAAATATCAGGCAGAAAAGAATTTATAATTAACGAATATAGATTGTCATTTAAAAAACCATAAATCATGTGAATCCAACCAAAAATGTAATTTTTTTAAAGTCAATCTCACTACTTAGTACAAGCTCAAACAAATAGGATTGACCCTTGTAACCCAAAATGCACTTATGGAAGACATTCATTCACAAATTTCTATCCAACCAAAAGACAAAATTGAAAGTAGGACCAAATTGGTTAAGCTTTTGTGAGTTAAGGGAGTAAATTAAGCAGCTACAGATATTTGGCACTAAAATGAACACACAAATTAGGAATCCTTTTGAACATTTACTCATAATTTATTAAAACAAATAGAGAAATATATGGCAAAGAGAATAACAATTATTGAGCCAAATAGAGCTCCACCATGATTGAATATAATAAAGAGTATTCTAGATTTCAGATACAGGTAAGAGGCCAGCATTAAAAGCCCCCTATAACAAGACCATAATTAAGTGAACCAAAATAGGGCCAGAGTCCATAAACACAGTTTTAAATTTAATTATCAATATTTTTTAATCTAAAAATCTAAAGATAGATCAAGACAAAGAAACAGTAGAATAACATAACAAAATTTACTGAAATTATGACATTATCTCCATCAAGGAAAAAGATCATACCCAAACATACAGCAACAATAACCAATTGGACAGGTTGTTTCGGAAGAAGACAAAATACTTGACCAATAACATAGGAGCCAATCAGTTCAAAAAAGAAAGAAAAGTTTAACAGTTGTAATCATTATCCAAATGTTACTGCAACAAATAGGGCTAACGGTAAAGTAAGACTTGAGAAGGCCCCATGAAAAGAGCGATAAAAATTTCTTTAAAAATACATCAAGAAATCAAAAGCCAACAGAAACCAATTGTCAGCTTAAAATGCTATCAAAACTATCATTCATTATGCTCAATAATTAAAAGAGCAATGAAAAAACTATAGAAAAATACATATGCCAAAATTTCATTTGGATGTAGCTTCCATGCTTTAAGAAGCAAGGTACAAGACTGCTGGGAAGAAAATAAATATTATTAAAAGACAAGATATTGTGCATAAAGTATCAGCATTTCGATAAATTTAGCTCATGATAAACCCACACTAAAGAAACAAGAATATCAGCATTGGACCAAGTCTAACACTGTTTGATTAGAAAATTTAAATATAAACAAACACCAATTTGAGAAAAAACAAAGGACACTGAAGATACTGGCACGGACATACAAGGTTAAAATAAAAGTATGGTTGAACAGAAAATAAGGAATGGCATGAGATCCAAAGACGAGGGATTAGCCTGAGATTCAAAGTTTCAATGCAATAAACAGACAGGTATACTCATCTGCATGCTATGCATGTCCTGGTACAATTCTGCAATACATGCTAGCATGCACAATTAACATCAACATTTACATTCATTAAGAAATAAACTCCTTATGGGGAATTGTAAAGTTTGATTTTTAAATGAAATTTGGACAATAGTATTAAAAATAAGAAAAAGGATAAGGACTTTGCTTCTTTCGTAAGAAAACAAAGATGTGGGGTGCCTATAAATAGGAGGCTTAATCTTCACGCTTGATCCAGAAAAGAAAAATAATTGATCCGCTTATCAAAAATTTTCCCCTACAAACTGTGATTCAAGCAGAAACCAAAGATCAAGAAGGGAGAGAAAAAAATTGGCCATATTAAGAAATATGCTAATTTAGTTTTGGAAAAATAAACAGATGTAAAATCTTTATCCTTTAGATACTGTGGCCTCTTTTCACAATTTTTCATCAGAAAAACTGGCATAACACTAGAAACGGAATTAATGCATAAAAAAAACCCAACTAGAATGCCTAAAATTAGGCCGGTAAAACAAAAGGACATGCCTCATAAGTCAAAGTGCCACCAGAAGTTGTTCATGCATAACAAAAACCCAACTAGAATGCCTAAAATTAGGCCGGTAAAACAAAAGGACATGCCTCATAAGTCACCGTGCCACCAGAAGTTGCAGGTTGTCGAAGTGTAACTGTGGAAACAGCACCATTTGCTGAGAGGATGCAAACTGCTCTCGGCCCCTGCTGTGAAAATGACATCACCTTTGATGCAATATCCTGCAAAAAATAGTTAAATGTGCAGATTTATTCAATTAGAAAAAGCTGCACTACATAAGCATGGTGTTTCATAATTAAAAAACATAATCACCAGCAGTCTCAATCCAATTAGGATTGAATAAGATGTAAGTTAAATCAAGCTTTTGAAATTCATAGCATGATGATCACGCATGCAAATATAATGTGATCTAGCACATAGAACTAAAAAATGATAGTTTTGGGTAACTAAATATGCACCTTCACTACTCAAAAACCAAGCACTCTGCCAGGAATAAAGGGTAGTTCAAGTAATTTTCTTTTTCTTCACTTTGTCAAGTATATTGCTCAGCATTATATTACGCTATGAATTCAAAAATTTTCTTAAAAAAAAGATGAGATGATTTCTCATTCTGACATAGAACGAACTCAGTCAGGTTGTCACAATTAGTTTACTGCAACCAATAGCTCTCCCTGAACATTCAATTCAGAGACGAAGGAAGGTAAAACCAATACTAAGAACATAAACTCTATCAATCACTATAAATAGCCAAGTTTCAATCTAACCGAACACAAAGTTCTTATTTTGTTTTATATCTTACAATTATGTCAATTTAATAAATAAGATAATTCGTTAAGCAAAATGAAAGCATAATGATGCATGGAAAAAACATTATATGGTTTGAATGTTTACAATTGGAAAACATGACATTAGGATATCCTTTTAAAATATTTAAGATAACAAAATGCATAACCATATTTTTTTTCCCTTTTCTTACTGGTAATATAGCCTAAAATAACAAAAGGATAGGTCATGTTCGTTGATACAAATGATCTCATCCGAATACAATGCCACTAAAGCAATTAGTTTTGATACTGCAGCCCGCCAAATTACATATGTTCAACGAGAGCTGGACAAACAAGAACAATAACTTGTATAATACATTGACAGATAAAGTCCCTTTATGATAACACATAACATAAAACAAAGTCAAGAACAGAAAATAATTGTATCATGTCAAGACATGCTCACTTTGCATGGTAAAATCTAAAATAAAAATGAAATAAATAACCTCTCCGACTGGAATTGTTATGATGTGAGGGGTGAAACCTATTCCAGCAGAACCAACTACCCATTCACCTGCAAAATATAACTCAATAGTAAGGGTACTCTTCCTAGACATAACAGTGAAAAACAATTTAACATTATCAGACAAAAATTCCTTCAATAAAATCCTACCATACCTTAAGTAAGGGAAAAATAATCTTGATTACAATATTGCAATCATATAGCAGCACATAAAACGAAAAATGCCAATAAACTATACAATTGAATGAAAAAAAAGATTTTTAATTCCCTACCAAACTCATATGGATATTACTTGAAAACGCAATTTCCAAGAAATAAATACCAACTATCATAAGTATTAGAATCTAAAACTGGGAATGATGCACCAAAGTATTCTTTCAGCACAGAAGGCGCCTCAGCACTCAACATTATAATCAATAAAACATAAGGATGAATGACAGGCTCTAGTTCTAACACCTCACAATCTGCATCACAGGTTATTTTTTCTTCCTTAACCCATGTGTGAATAAAATTGCCAGAGCTTTCTTAAAAAAATCAGTTTTTTAATTAAAATTTCCTCTCAATGCTTCTAGTGAGCACCAAATCTAGATATATTAGTCATGGCCACAGAAAGCAACAGAAAACAAGGGAAAATGGTTCTTTTAAACTTTTTTGACTCAGACTAAGATATAAAATAAACATAAATGTCACATTCGTAAGAATTTAAAAATGATATCGAATAATCTAAAAGCTCCTGAAAAGGAAAGAGTCAGAAGAAAGGCACTTAAAAGAAAAGCAGAACAATCTTTAACCTAAAATAAGACGAAAGAACAATTAACAATAGGGGAAACACATCAGCCATGTGCATTTTGTCGAATTAAATATAAGGAAGGGGGGAGTATAATATTATTTACATTGGGAACTGTTGACTTATATATCAGCGAGATGATCATCAAATATCAAAAAAACAAGAAAAACAATAAGATATTTAGTAATGAGATTAATGAATGTAGAAAAGGACAGCCATATCAGACGGTACAAATTACAAATCACCAAATCCCACAAAACAAAACAAAATGCTCGTGAGCTCATAAAGCTTCCCACATACCAAGAGAAGCCAGCTGCTGCTTCCTTCCGGTGCCCGGCGGCCGACCTCTTCCTCGTTTTTGAGACGGCATCCCCGATCCCGACCCTAGAAGTCCGGCTGATGTGCCGGAAACTGATGTCGGAGATGAGAGGGGCGAGAGAGCCAACGATACTGATCCGTCAGGTCCGTATTTCCGCGGTCTCCCCCTTTTCCTCTTCACCTGCTCTCCCTGGCCGACGCCCACACCGATTCCACCGGGACCAATATTGACTGTGTGAGGTGCAATTGTAGGAGGTGAGGAAGCCTGGAAAGCGGATCCCTGTGTCGCACCACCACCAAAGCCTCCGGGAACGCCCATAGCCGAAGTCTGAATGGCAAAGCTAGGGCTTAGGTTGGGCACCGAGCGCGACATTCCAAGTGGGGCATGCAAGCTCGGTTGCGAGCCAGAGCCCGGCGCTCCCATACCTCGATGCATAAAATATGAAGCTGGGCCGGACAGCCCCATGCCCTCCCTCCCATCCATGCATGGATCGCAGTATCACCTTTCTTCACGTTCCTACCCCCAACAACCTCCAGGGAAAAAGCACTACGACGAAGCCTAGGTCACAACTTTACAAGATGAAACTCCGATTTCAATTGATTAAGGACCAAAGATGATGAAAGTACAGTAAGAAACCCCTCCTCCAATCTAGCAGACTAAAATAAGAAAACTGGATTCGAGAGGTTGGGAGAAAAAGGCTCGCATTTCGCGCATCCTCTTCAAACCAGAGCCTACAAACTCATAATTCTCATCTTCCTGTCACATATATAAAAGCTACAAGCTTGAATCGCTGATTTAATCGAATTCATCCACAAGATTTCTCAAAGCTGATCCCCCCCGCTGTCAGGACAGAATCCGCCAAAACCCTAAACCAAACTGCCGAAAGCTATACCTTTTCCATTCATCTTCATAAAAAAAAACAAAAGGGGAACACGTTACCTCGCGAAATCAGCAAAAATAAAAACTTTAAAATCAAAAAGAAAAGAAGAAATGAAACCCTGACTGAACTCTGCAAAAGAAGCGCGCAGAGAATGCAAAAACTAACAAGCACAAGCTAGAAAAAAAAACTCTTCTTCACGCAAAGCCGAAGCAGCTCGCGAAAGTAACGGCGATGAGGAGCGACAAAAACCTAGACTGGCCTAGGGAGACCATAGACAAAGACCAGAGAAGAGAAATTATAGAGATAGACAGGCAATGGCAGGAAGGATACCGCCTACCCCTTCCCCCAAGTCCGTTGGCTCTCCTTTCAGCTTTCTCATCTTTGCTTTTTCATTTATTATTATTATTATTAATTATTATTCTCTTGTTGGAGGCCACAGCAATAGTAAATCATGTGGGAAGGAGTAGAGGCTGATTAGATAATAAGGAAAAACAAATTTCCTAAAGAAATACGGGATGTTGACTTTTCAAACCGTATTGTACGGTAGTTTGACTGTATAATTAGAATGACTATCGACTTAATTAGTGAATTGTGAGATCTTAGGATATTGTTAATATGATATATGGACATGATGGTCTGTCATGTGGCTTATTGATAACTAATCATTAGAATTTCGTGTCAGAGATTATAAATTTTGAGTAAAAATCTGAAGGTGTCAGCAACATGACTGTTTGTGCATTTTTTTATATATTTTTTTAATTTTTTTTTTAGTTTATATAAAATCATGATTATGAATATATTTTGATTTCAATAAATTAATATTGATTGTATATATATGATATGGCATAACTATTAGTGTTGAATTCAAATTAGTCGATGTAAGGAGGTCAAGGATAGGATCGTTAGGAACCCAGTGTCAAAGATAGGATCGTTAGGAACGAAGGCGAATTGGGATATTCTTTGGCTCTTTCACGCATTTTATATATGTAAATAGAAGTTATAAGACGAAAGGGGAGAAAATTTTTCCTGTAGAGTATGGATCTAAAGGGAAGAGCCAAAAAGCCATTTTTTGCATGGTCAAGGATAGGATCGTTAGGAACCCAGGAGGGTAGAAAAAGGGAGCACGCATAAACTTGTCCCTTTTAGGTGAACTGGGATATTCTTTGGCTCTTTCACCCATTTTATATATGTAAATATAAGTTATGAAACGAAAGGGGAGAAAGTTTTTCCTGTAGAGTATGAATCTAAAGGGAAGAGCCAAAAAGCCATTTTTTGCATGCACTGGACCCCCCTATTTATAGAGATAGAGTGTCACAAAATAAAAAAATATGCATTTTCACCTGTTTTAATGAGTGGGTTACCACATATTATTATTTTTTATTTTGTCTTTTCGTATTTGTAACTAATGCAGTCGTTTTTTTGATATTTTTGGACCCTTCAGTTGATTGGTCCTTGAGACGGTCGACCAAGCTAGTGTCAGTCGACTATGTTGCTTAGGTGTTGGGTGGTCTTCACCATGGGAAGTTAGTCGGCTTTGAGTGTGGTATCCGTATAGCCCTAACGTGGCTGATCGCATCGCATAGCTTGTTTCTTGGTGATGTTTAAAGGGAGTGTTAAGAGAGTGTGATATTTGCAAGGTTGTGCGAGGTACAAGTCCTTGACTTAGTTGTAGGAGCTTGTCTGCTTTCAACCAGCCTAGATAGGTCTTTGGTCAGTCTACCTCAGGATGGTCGGTTGGTTATAAGCTCTCTCCGGTCGGTTGGCTTCATGGACGTTAGCATTTGATCATCCATGGTCAGTCGGTTATAAGCTCGTCTGCTTTCAAATAGCCTAGATAAGTCTTTATGTCGGTCAATTATAAGCTCTCTCCGACTCGGCTAGAGAATAAAGTTAAGGATTGAAAGATACAAATTTTTCATCGTTTCGTCAACTAAGAGTTGGGGCATCTAAACAATTCCGACTTGCAACCTCTTCTAGAAAAAAAAGACACTGATTATTATCAGATCGAAAGAGCTGACATTGAGGGTCAGTTGCTTTTAGTTCCCAGTATATCGAGTCGACTACTGTGAACATAGTCCTGTTTCCTTAGAGTATTTGACCATATGACGACAAAATTGTGGGCCGCTTCAAATGCTGCTGAGGTCAAGCAGGCAAAAGAGACGGTCGCCTGGACACCCAAGAAAAAGGCCAAGCTGAAGCCAAGAATAAAACAAAAGTAGAAGAAATTGGGCAAGAAGCAGTGGCGGTTAAAGGGAAGTTAATTGAGTCGGAAAGCGAAGCAATCCACCTTGTAGGTGAGGATTTTCTCTTTTATGTTTCTGCAACCACGGTAGTGATTCAGTGGATTTCAATAGGTGAATTGACCATCATTATCAGGAAGCACGTGGCATGCACCAATTTTAAAACTTTTCTCCTGGATTCAGCTCCTTCAATTCATTGAGAAGCTAAGGGTTGTTCTATCGGCCCGAGGTAATTGTAGACGAAGTGAACTTTGAAGAAGAAGAAGCGAAAGTACAACCGACTATACTTTGTCATGATGTCTTGTTCATTGAATTTTTTTGTTAGATGTGAGGCCAGTCGGCCTACCACTCCTACGCGGTCCAAGTTCAGAATTGAGTTTGAGACTGATTCGGAAGCAGGATCTCTTCAGAAAGTTATGCATCGTGAGGGCAAAGAGCCAGTCTCAACATCGACTCCCCCGCCCCTTATATCTTACATGAAGAAAAGGAAAGGGTTCAGCATCCAACTGGATTCCTTATCAAGGTTAAGTTAAAAAATTTGGAACTCTTCAAATGGTTAGTTCACAGCTATCAACCGATCGGTAGATTGGTACATTAGCTCACTGTCTTCTAGGATTTATCCTGTTGCATTTTTAGAGGCAAGGGAAAAAATTTGGAACTCTTCAAATGGTCAGTTCACAGCTATCAACCGATCGGTTGATTGGTACATTAGCTCATTGTCTTCTAGGATTTATCCTGTTGCATTTTTAGAGGTTATACGACCGCGAGTGTTTGTGAAGTTTCTTTGGAATATCGAGTAAACAAATCTATACAAGAAAGCAATCATTACCATTTTGAGGGTGTGGGAGGCCTCCCAGCTTCAGTCAATAGCTTTGGATAAGGCCGTGATGATGAGGGCCACTATTTCAAAGAGAGATGAATTTTGGTCAGGCTTGCCAAGAAGGCTAGTGGCCGTGAAGAAACTAGTTGCTATCAAGGAAAAATTGTCTATTATTTCATAACTGTGTTCGATCAGCGAACAAGAAAATTATGAGTTGAAGGCGTGGATGGTGACTTGAAGACCAAGGAAGAGTTTCTTAAGTCGCTTCCATCACATCCCAGGTAGGAGAAACTTTTAGATGAGCATCTTTAGATCAACAACATGATGACAATGGACTGGTTCATCCAAAATAAATTGCGGCTATGTATACCGGTTATGAGGGATTATCCGAAGTTGACTTGGGTGTCGAAGGTGAAAGATGATATTCAACCAGGCTTCCTTAGGCTTAGACATCTTCTCTTTTGGAAGAAACATTTGTAAAATTTATGTAGACAAACTTTTTTAAATATAAATATTTTGTATATTTACTTTTGTAATGGAACGAGGTCATTCAATTGTCTTTTCATACCTTTAACTTTTACCATTGATGTTCTTTCATGAGAATATTCTTGATAATGAGTGTGTCAGCTCAATTGTTTGATTCTTATGAAAGATCGTTTGTTATTTTGATTTGTTACTGCCCGACACAAGTCTTACCTTGCCAGTCAAGTTTTGTTTCAGTCGGACTTGTCTCTTTGGTTAACCCGCATTTTTGTCAGAACTTATGCGAATCATGTCGCTATCTTAGAGAGGGTGACAACCTCGACTTACTATTGGGATGATTTGTGTTGTACCTTTCACACAACTTATCGATATTGGGCAGAGAACCAACTCAATATCTATTTTTGAATCGAGTTTAGAAACTGACTTTTGAGTGCTTGACATTGTGGGTTGATTGCGGGACTGACCGGACAATTTTGACATCGCTACCGATTATTTTTATGCTTTTAACCAATCGTCCATCCTTGGTGTTATTGTCAGTTGTTTTTACGCTTTTTTTTCACAAATTTTGGGCTCATTTCTTATACTTATCAAGTTCTAAAGCATTCAGTCGATTCATCGCCCCAGTTCAGCCTCATCTTTTATCATGTCTTAGGCGGATCTTGTTACTTCCTTCGTGTGGGTAACTTCCAAGATTCACTATTGAGGTTGTTTGTGTCTTACCCTCTGCGAAGCTTGTCGCTACTGGGTAGGAAACCACCTTCAAGGCTTCATATTATCCAAACTTTGAGACCAAAAATTTTTTATGATGGAGTTTTGTGAATTACTCAGCTAGCCAGACCTCACTGGGTCACTAATAGCGTGGTTTTTGGGATTAACGTTTCCTATATGTCAACTGGACTTTGGAGGAAGTTAAAAAAATTCATTATAATATTGCAAAATTTTTCAACATATTATTGTGTGACGTACAGGGCATTGGCCACTTGGGACAGGCCGAGCGGTGTGCCATTAGGGTCGGTCGACTCGTTTTGGCCGTTGGGAGCCATGCATATGTTTAGAGGTACTTCCTAACCAAAGCATATAGGAAAATAACGAAAATGTTATTTTCAGGCTCTAGATCTGTTGAGTAAAACTCTTTACCATATGGCATATTTAAGATAATGATTCATTTCCTCAATGGTGTCACTTCCTTTTTTTTTTATGGCATGCTACACGTTCACCACATCTTTTATGTTGTTGAATCCAGATTTGTCCTATGAGAAATGCACACGGTTCAAAGCGGTAGAGATTCGGGAGAAGAGAAATAAGGGGAGATAGAGAGGTAAAAAGGATATAGAATAGCATGCACAAACTTGCCTCGTAACTGCGAACTGGGGTGTTCCTCGGCTTTGTGACCATTTTATGTATGTAAATAGAGGTTATAAGAAAAAAATTGAGAAAGTTCTCTCTATAGAGTATGAGTTTAGAGAGAAGAGCCAAAAATCCCTTTTTACATGCACTAGACCCCATATTTATAGAGGATAGAAAGTCACAAAGTAGAAAATTATTTATATGCCCCACTCTGCTTTAATGATGTGACTACAATATACTATTGTCTTTTGACGTGTTTTTTTCATATTTGTAACTGAATTAGGAATCTTTTAATATTCCTGGACCCTTTAGTCGACGACTCCTTGAGTTGGTCGACTAAGTTGGTGTTGGTCTACTATGTTGCATGAGTGTCAGGTGATCTTCACCTTGGGAAGCCGGTTGGCTTTGAGTGTGGGATTCAAGCGGCCCTAACGTGGCAGATAACATGTTTTATGTTAATCTTTAAAGGGTGTGTTGAGAGAGTGTATAGTGATATTTGCGAGTTTGTTGGTGATATCAATCCTTAGCTTAGTTGTGAGAGGTTGTCTGCTCTCGGCGTGCCTCGATAGGTCTTTGGTCGGTCGGTGTTAGGATGGTTGGTCGGCAATGAGTATTTCGGTCGGTTGACTTCATAGACATTAGCATTTGATCTTAACCGTCAGACTGCTTTAGGGATTTTTAATTAGACAAAATGTTATTAAGAACATTTATTACAGTGTCAGACTGCTTTGAGTTTTGTGTAGGGCATTTTTGGATTTTAAATTAGACAAAATGTTATTAAGAACATTTATTACAGTAATCAATATAATATTCTCTCTTAAGGATAAAAAGGTTATTAAGATATATATTATCTAATTCATATGTATTTACATATTTACTCCTAATTTTTAATTTTTTTTATACTACTCGAATCTCTTTTATCACATAAAAAATTCACTTCCTTAACTTTAAAAAGGTGAATTGCACATTTTCTTGCATTAATAAGATAACATATTATGTTTACATAAAAATATGTCATTGCTGACACAGAAAAGATGTAACGATCCAAAGGAGAAACGTACAACAAAGGAGAGCCCGTTGACAAAAGACCATGAGACCCAGTTATCAGATCAAATGCAACAGTCTGAGCCACAAGCAATGTCACAAAGAGACATTCATGCCAACCGACATAAAGAAACTGACTCAGGAGAAGATTTATCCTCTCAGTATCCTCAATCATACTGGAGATGACTAGAAGCTCCCCCATCTATTATCAAGGGTCGACAGTCGAACTAACTTAGCTGATTGAACCATTCCTGATGACCTGATATAGTTCCTCCCGAGATACTCCAACCCCCCCATGAATTGGTTATTCCTAAACGAGTCATGAAGGGTATAACGAACATGCCTTGTCTCCACATTGGATCAAGAACAGGGTCAGAGGGATCAAAAACCGCTAATTCGTATAGAGCCATCGAGCCGGCCCAACCAGAAACCAGAGCTGTATGCATTATATGGACAGAAAGTAATCGACCGGGATCATTCAATACAACAGTATGAACACGATACCAAGGCAAACCCATGTAAATACCCCTTTCTGAAAAAGAAATAGACATTATGTAACTTTATCGCATTGGAAAAGACTAGACCATGTATTTCACCTGTTTGGTAGATTTTGTATAGGAAAGGATTACTATTTCTTTGTATTCCCTTCTTTTATTTTTTTATTTTTAATGAAATAGAATAGAAAGAATTTGAAATAGAGAGAGGAGAGAACAATTCTATTTCTTTCTATTTAGAAGAACAAAGAGAAACAGATCATATTCTATACCCGATAAATACCAATACGCAATGGTAGGATTTTGAGGGAAAAAATGCATAGATACTCTTTTCGAATTTGAAATCATTCGAACAGTTGGCTGATTCGATTGATCCCGTTCATCAAAATTTTTATTTATTCATTCTGTCTTCCTCTATGAACCTTCTACTCCTGTATATTCTATACTATACATTCTATATATAATAGAATATAAAAAATATAAAAAATCTATAATATAAAATTAAGAATAGAATAGAATATTATAGAATATAAAAATATATAAAAATGGAAAATAAAGAGAAAAAATAATGAAGACAATAAAACCATTGTTACGTTTTCATATTAAAGTAAAGTATAGTACTTCATTTTTTTATTTATCTTAATGCCCATTGGTGTTCCAAAAGTGCCTTTTCGGAATCCTGGAGAGGAAGATGCAGTTTGGGTTGACGTATAGTGCGACTTGTCAGACATATTGGTCATATGGTATTTCCCCGTTATCTCCCCCGATCGAGTATTCTCTGTTTCGCCCCATCCAATAAATATATATTGGATATTTTATTTATTGAATCATCAATAATTTGGAGCGTGAAGCACAATAATTCCTATTGGGGATCAATATTATCAATTCAAATAATTGATGGTTTACTTGGACTGATAAAATAAAGTATCCAGGCTCCGTTCATATAATACCAAATTGGAAATGGTAAGAGTAATAATGGGAGTGTAAAATGTAGTAATAGAAATCATAAATATTAAAGAAATAAATGAAATAAGAAATAAAGAATAATAATATAATAAAGAAAGATAAAATAGAAATTTCATGAAATTCTTCATAAATTTGAGATTCATTAGTAATTAAATAGAATATGAATATAATATAACTTACTATAATAGAAAGATAATAGAATCTTAGAATATAATATATTATTAGAATATATGATGATTATGATTACACAATTACCGCTTGTGTAATTTGACTATCCCTTATTCTTTTTCACTAATTTGACTATCCCTTATTCTTAAGTCCATTAAAAGCATGCAAAAAAAATGCAACATCACTATATTGTACTCTCTCTCATATAATACAAAAATCATTTTATGAATAAGGGATAGTCAAATTAGTGAAAAAGAATGACATGTTTTATGTAAGTAGTAGAGGAAATTACACTCCCAACCGGACAAAAAAAAAATTCCTGTAGAATCTTACAAAGCTTTTGGTAATGATTTTGCAATTATTTTTTACTTTATACTCATGGAATCATATTTAAATAAACTTTAATTTGCTTGCAGGAGCAACTAGGAGCAGGTTCAATGATTGCAACTCTGCCAAATCCTTCCGTGAAATTGGAATTGTCGTCATCCGTTCCATTGAACGGGTTGGTGAGTCACTCAGCATAGCTGTTAAAGTGGGGAATATTGATAGAATCTGGCATCTGACTTAACTTTAATGGCAGTGAAGGAATGGTCTTGTGATCTTATAATTAATTAAATTGGGTGTTTACATAGATACCACACAATTCTTATATATATACATATCTAACACCTAAACATCCATATTTACATGCATACTCCTCAAAATTTTAACATCACATCAAAAAAACCACAATCACCATCTTTTTAGAAGTAAAATACACCTTTTCATGGTGTAAATATCAAATTTTGGGTGCTAGATATGTAAATACATAAGAACTGTGTGGTATGTATGTAAATTAACAGCAAACTATGTGACTGAAGAATGTAACATTGTTGCAGCCAAGGGCAGCTTTGCATTTTCCTTATGGTGAAATTGCATTGGAGCAGAGAGAGAATATTGAGGAAAAGGATGAAGTTAGGAATGCTTTGTCAGTTGATGGTATCTTAAAAAGTCCATTGTTGAATGGAGTCTCCACTGTTGTGTACAACGGAAAAGATTTGAACCTAAGATATATTTATAAGGTGATTAGTTTGCAATTTACCTTTATTTATTTTATTAGTTTTCTTGCATGCCTATTTTTACAGCTGCATTTTCTTAATGATTTTACTTAGACTTTAGTGTTTATTATCATTTAATTAACTGGAATTCATTGTTAGGACACACATTTGACATTCATTCCAAGTTTTAGTCTACCTTCGAATAAAGCGTCATTCGCATTTAAACGGAGATTCAGCTCTACGGATAAGTTAAGGTATGCCGTCTCTTCTGTATTATCCTTCATTTTTAAGTTGTCTACTTTCCTTTAATTTTCTCTTTATTTGTTCCTCAAATGAAGCATAGGGATTTAAATCAATCAATGCACTTGGTGAAAGTGAAAAACTTGAACTCTCCTCGATTAATACTTGATCAAGCATGTTCAAATTAGTAAATATGTTTGAATATTTTTTAAGTACTCTATTGCTAAATAAACGAAACATAGATTTAGTTTGAAAAATTAGTTTATGTTAACAAAAAAACTCATTTATTGTTCAATAAATAACTTGTTAATGCTCTATAGTAAGCTCGATGATAACTTTTATCTTATATGATATATTATTTAATTAAAATATGATTAATTAGAACTTATTTAATTACATATTTAATAGTAAGATATTATAATTTAACATATGCATGTATATTAATATAATGAAATTCACTTTTTTTTAATTTCAATGAAATCATTTGATAGTACTTAGGGCTGTCAAAATTGCTCGTTGTTTGCGAATAGTTTGTGTTTTGCTTGTTAAGAAGTTCGTGTTTGATTCGTTTGCTAAGCAAATGAGTCGAACACGATCAATTTGTTTGTGCTTGATATATAAATGAGCCGAACACGAACAAAGATTTGTCTGTTCGTGTTGGGCTCATTTTAGCTCGAAATAATTATATAAATATAGTATTTTTAAAAAAAAATTCTGGCTACAAGGCTATAAAAATTTTTAATCAATTAAAATTATTAATTAAAAATAGAATAAAAATATATTAAATTATATTTAAATAATTTTTTATAAATAATAAAATTTAAATCTCAGCACAACCCTTAACATGCTATAGTTGTGTGATTAGAATTGTCAAAACGACTCTTTGTTCACGTACAGCTCGTCTTCGACTCGTCAAACAAACAAGTCGAACACGAACATATTTTTTTGTTCGAAATATAAACATGCCTAATTCGAACAGTAGTATTTTTTAACGAGCCGAACACTAACTGGGCTCGGGCTCACTCATGTTCGTCTCGTTTACACCCCTACATACTTTCTAGTAGTTCTCTTTAGCGATCAAAGTTAAATATAACATACATTTTATCGGACAATAATACAATTAAAATGATTTAGCAAGGATGTGATAATGCTCAAAACTATATTCTTATTAACCAATTATAATAAAGAAATATTAACATTAATAAAAAAAATTATAAAAAAGCTAATTAATATATATATTTTTTTTAATTTGGAACTAATAAATATAGCTTTGAAAAATAGATTTTAAAAATATAATACTTAATTATTTCAAAGATCTTAAATGAATTCTTATATATTCTCACTTTCATAAACATAATGCATTCAAATGGCTTCAATATTTTCTTCTCTTTTCCTTCATAAGTAGCAATATATAATAACTCTCAAAATTTAATACTTTTAATAATTCAAAAATAAAACATAGAAATAAATTTATAATGAAATTTTAATTTTTTTTAGCCTTTGAAATTAATTTTAGTGAGTGTAAAAATACTTATTAATAGTTCCTTTTATTGGAACATGAATAACATTATAGGTGGCAACTTTAGTTCAGTTAGGCCAACTGACTTGAGAAAAAGAGGGATGTATGTTACCAATGAAATGAATAAAATAAAATGATACTATGAATATAAATACAAAACTTAGGTAATATAGTATGTGTGCATGGACTAAGGTTGAATAATTGAGTCCAAAAAATATAATTTGGTTGAGTGGTATTACACCTTAGACTCAAACCATTATTGGAAGGTATTTATTTTGAAGTTATTAAGAAAAAAAAAATAAAATAAAGAGCAAAAGACCAAGTTAGAAAGGTGTCTTTGGCTAATGCTAGCTTTTGTCTTAAATTTTTTGAAGAATCCTTACATATATCTAGTAACAAAAGAAAGACAAGACCTAAGCAATATATATGAAATATATCAAATCTTATGTGGATTTCTCATCGGAACATGCAGATGATGTAGTTGTCTATCCCTATGTGTGGAGGCCCTATTAGTTACGACTTAGGTAATGATCATGCTATGCAACTCGTTTAAAATTTGGACGAAGGCCATGCAGGAAATAAAAATGCAGCTTTTGGAAAATCCTAAATATATTAAGCCTAAATTTTAATTAGTCTTGAAATTTTTATTAGAATTTTGTAAAAAACTTTTATAAATATAGGTCCTTAGAGAGCCTAAGTTATAACGATGAGTTCTCATACAAACTACAAAGTAAAAAAAAAGAGAAGCCAATTAAAGCAAACAAGCATGCAAGGTACAGGGAAGTAAAGCAAGCCAAGTATAAAATTATAAAACGTCAGTGTCGTTGGGTCGGCAACATATTTCAGAAAAGAAAAGGCGCTAGACATCACATAAGTACAAACTCGTCTTAATTCTATACATAAATAAAATTTAGAAGGTACAGGACACGAGTAAGCAACTTCTGGTTCTCGTCATGTAATTTCGTCGACCTGACACCTCGAAACATGTCCCCGTACCTTATTTATAATATATAACTCTCTTAAGGACTCAAAAAGTACACAGAAAAAAGTAAAAAAAAAAAAAAAAACTCCACCAACAAGAAAACAACGCTACCAGCAATGCATATGCATCATGCATGGCGGGAGGAGCTAGGTTGCGCCTACAAAAAAGGGTTAGTAATTAAATCATTACATTACTCCTCCTAGTTACATGGGTGTTGTGTATTTTAGGTATGACTCTCTACAAGAAGACTATTCTAATATACTATCATGCATATCAAAATCAGTAAATATGCAAACACACCAAAAGCAAAAAAGATGATGTTTGACTAGGGCAGTCAAACCAAAAGAGAAATATAGCCACAACATTGAAAAAATATACCTATCATCCTAGTAATTAGCCTAGCACATTATCTAATGTAGTGTCTTAACACAACTTCTAAATGAGTGCAAGGTTATGTCAGAAGGCAAACATATGTTTTGACGAGGTCACTGTCATCGACTCCATCCTAAGGATCTAAGGATTCTAAGAGGTGACACTAGATGTAGGCTTTGTAAAACTTAAGTTTAAGAAAACTGGCCTTACATATTGTCTAAGCTAAATATGTAAGTAATTTTAAAGTAGATATTTTAGAACATAATGCTTATAAGTAATAAAAAACTATAAATTTTTATCCCTTTTTTTTTTAAAAAAAAAGTACATAAGAAATAGAAATCCTAGGTGGCACCTATTGTACCCCTTGGAACCTTAGCACAACATACGCATGTTGCTCCACGGTACGATAGCTAATATTACCCATATGTCATTCCTTGCAGGAAATACTAGATGTCACGTCGTGACAAACGGAGAATTGCTCAACTAACAAGCCAGCTTTGTCATAGGAACGATCAAGGAATGCACATGTAAATAAAACATGATCCAATGTAGTGTGATCAACCTATCGGGGTAGGAGTGATCAAAAGATGACGAACATTCATCACTATTATATGGATGACATATACTAATGACAAATGTGCCGATAGTGCAAAATGGTGCATAAAAAAGAAACAACACAAGTGAAGATGTGTGTGTCGAGGAGGCAGTGACCTAAAAGGTGTGTATGTCGAGGTGGCAGTGACTCGGAGTGTAGGTGCTCCGAGGAGGCAGTGACCCGGGAACATGAGTGTGCATGAGGCACATTGACTCTAGGGAAATCCTATGACATCCCAATGTGGTGCCACAACAACGAAGTGATGTAATTCTCGTTGGAGAGAATTTCACACCATGGAGACTAGATATGGAAGCTATCCCTAGAATGGACACATGAGTGTCCGGAATGGGTGTGCAAGAATAGTGACCCAAGCAAGACTCAAGCATGCAAAACTATGCATGGACATGCAAAGCACACATGGGAGAGTGTACTAGTGCAAGTATGCAAAGGGAGTGGTCAAGCAGAACAAGCCGGTGAGGCTGATTAGGTGAGTTGATGAGACATGATGATCGATCTGATAAAACTAGTACAACTGATCAGTGGAAATAATAAGGGAGAGTCGGTCGTGTAGATCAGACCGATGACGCTGATCGAACGAGCAAACAAAACATATCAATTGACTCGATCAAATCAGTGCGACATCTCGATCAGATCGACAAAAGATAGTCAGTCATGCAGATTAGGCCAATGAGGACGATCAGACCAGTCAATGAGATATGATTATCGAATTGATCGGGTTGGTGTGGTTGATCAGTTGAATCTCCAAAAGAGGGTTGAACGTGCCAATCGGGCCAATCAGATGAACCAACGAGACAAGACAATTAATCCAATTAGGCCGATACAACTGATTGGTCAGATCAAAAAAAGATAACTGGTCGTGTCGATCAGGCCGATCGGACAAGCCAAAAAACAAGACAATCAATCTGATTGAGCCAATGCGCCTAATCAGTCGGATCACCAAAGGATGACCGGTCATGCCAATCGAACTGGCGGGGCCGATCGGACGATCCAATGGTGTGACATGCAAAAGTTGATAGTTTTAATGCATATTAAAAAAATGACACACATATAAGACAAATGCAAATGCATGCACATGACAAAGAGGTCTAATCATCCACGGCTACAAAGCCGGCTCAACCTAACGACCTCACGAGTCACCCTAAGGGTAGTAAATGAGGTGAATTGGAAGTCGCTACAAAGCAACGAGAGGCCACTTCTGTTTGCCCAACATGAAAAAAAATCTATGAGGAAAGTCTTCGTTGCGTAGGGAATGTTAAAGTCATGGGACTTGCTGCTCTCTATGTCCAAACCACGAATTTCGCTCTCCTTTATCAAAGGAATGAAATCGCCGGCACAAACACAGGCTTAAGACGAAGCTGAGTGTTGGGATTTCATGCTGGAAATAAAAGGGTAGGTTAACACTTGGATTCGCGATATGATCACACAAGCTCCTAACTAAGCTGTTTCATCTAGGAACACTAAGAATCCAATCCTAGATTCTCTAAAATCCAGACCTAGGGGCCTTAATGAAAGAGAGAACAAAAGTTTAAGGAATCTCACCACTGCGGTGGTTGATCCAACTCTGACGTTCATTCCGGAAGAAGCTCTCCTAGTGGCAGAAGAGATGATGAAGCAGGGTTCTGGTGAAGTTCCGAGCTCTGACGAAGCTTCGACGATGCTTCCTTGAACTAGGATTAAGCTCTCCTTTAGAATAAGAGAGAATACACCTCACTCCTTCACTAGCCAAGTTCCTCCTCAAGAAGGTCTCCTCAAGCACTTAATTGAAGTGGTGGAGGAAGAGGAAGAAGAATGAGAAGAAGAAATCTTGGTGGAAGATGAAATGGAAGAAGAAGAAGTATGGGATCTTGGAAGCAAACCATTTCTCTCAGCCTTCTCTACTGCTCTCTACTCCAAATTCTCCAACAAATCCTTCCAACACCAAAAAATAGGACCACTCAAGCTTTCACCACTCGGAGAAGAAGAACTCTCCAAGAAGAAGCCCTAGCTAGAATGGGGGAGAATGGGTGGAAGACATAGCTGCCTTCCATTTTCCATAGGTTTGCATGTAGCCCCCTTCCTTCAAGCCTCCCAAATGTCCAAAAAGTGGACACATGGCCACTCTGCTCTTTCCTCATTGATTATTCTCTAATTATCCCCCTAAACATGCTCTTCAATTGCTTATAAAGTGTTTTTGGCGGGATTTAGTGGAGATGTTAAGGAGAAAATGTGAACAAAAATTTGACCCGGTTTCTAGGTGTCCTGATCTTAACAACTAGGCACCAGGTCTAGCACACTAATGCTTAGTGCTTGCCGCCTAATTTACAGGGGCTTGGGAAAGTCTGCATAAAAGGAGTTCTCAGTTCCTAGGCACGCAGCATTTGCGCCTAGGAAGCAGTTTGCTGGTGCTTACTTGTTGAGCTATCCGACTTTAAGCTTCTTAGGTGATATTTTAGGTGCCTAGGGGCTCAGGACTGGCACCTACTTGCTGGTTTAGCCTCGAAAACCCTGTTTTCACTAAAAACATATGACAGAGGATTTTCTCAATCTGAAACCTATGAGGGACCAAATATGGTTGAAATATAGTCTGATAAATCCAAAAATGAGTATTTTTACTAGCCATTGCCAGAGGATTCATTGCTGGCGGTCGCTCCGAACTACAACTTTTGTACGATGTTATTAACTTTAACCTTCCCGGGAACACTTACTAAAAGCTTCAATGGGTTTCCTTAACCATGAGAGGCTTTAAGCGGATATGATATAGTTCTAAACACCAAAATTGATTCCAAACATGTCTCATGCTCTGAGTAAGCTTGTCCAAGGGTGGATTCTCTCGGGTAAGGTCAAATGATTGTAGACTTTGGTTTTGTGCCCTGAATACGTACCAGAAAGACTTGGATGGGTGTCTTGAGCTACAAGATTCTACAAGTGAGTAGGGAATCATCCCAAGCCAGTCAAGTAGACACCCTACACATGTGACATCAAAAATTGACATCAATAACTCTTTTAATCTAACTTCTTTTGTAGTCATTCTAGGGTGTAGTATTTTAAAACTACTCATTCTATTTTTTTTTTGGATTCATCTTTGTGTTACTAGGTAGTTTCCTCTAGGGTGTAGTACTTAGAGTTTTTGTTAATTACTTTAACAAAGCCTCTATGTTTCTTATTGTTGCATCTTGAATTTGCAATTTGTTTCTCATTTGTAATATTAATTCTTCCCATAAGAGCTTCTTTTTTTTTAATTGGTAATTAGAAGTGAATTCAATTGGGTAAGTGGGTTTATGGTTTGAGAAATTATTGCTGTGATCATTCCAATTGCTTAAGGAGTTCTATCAGTATCTACTCATCCAGTGTTTCTTATAGTTTGGTTGTTATTCCAATTAAAGTATGTGTGATTTTGTTTCTAATAAAGTTGTAGGTATTAGAATAAAGTTTTTAGGCCCATTGTTGATTATATTCATTGATTCAATACTTGAAATACTAAAATCTCCTAGTTCTTGATAAACAAACTCATCACTTATTAGGGAGTCTTGTATTGAATTTAACCCTAAGTTATCTAACTTATTAGATATAGTTGTTAATTATAAAGTTAGAATAACACATTATGATCATGTACACTCTCCATAATCCTTGGGTTAACTCTCTCATAAGGTTAGTGAAAGTATTGCGTTGCCATTTTCTTAATCAGTGCTTGTGCCTGCTCAAGTTATTTTAACATAAAGGACCCCCCTATAGAAGCTTCAATAATCAACCTCAAAGACCCCAACAACCTATTATAAAAAGTTTGAATTACCAACCAACTGGGTTAGGCACGACGTTGACAATAACCTAAATTTGTATGGGCTCACACAAGTACACATGTTTTTTAAGTAATATAATATATTTGAGTTCAAAATCATTCCGACAAGATTTAAAAGGTGAAATGTAAATTCTGATCAAGCACTAGTTTTAGTATCGTAACTCTATCAAAACAAAGAATTCTTGTAAAATAGGGATTTTAAGTTTTCAATTTTTTATAGAAAGTCAAATATAATAAAGATCTCCAATAGATTCTTAGCTAATAAAAAAAAATGCATGAAAAAGGATTAATTAAGGTAAGTCATCAATCGAGAGCCAAATTAGTTTAAGGCCTCCATTTAAACCAACAAAAATCTAATTTTTCAAAACCCTAAGGCAAAGAAGTTTAAAAAATATAATTAGTCAATGTAAATTAATCAATACTTAAAGTAGTTTAAAAAATTAGATGAGAACATTTCCCTAAGTGATTGTAAAGTATTAAGGATAATATGTCTATTTTCTTATAACAAACTTATGGATCTCCATATGCAAAAAAGGACTTTATCAAAATCTTAACTTCTCATAAAACTTTTAAACACGAGTATGGTTGTTAATAAATGTTAAATTAAGTAGATGATTCACAAATGACATTTTAAAGTTTTATAATCATTAAATCTAATTCACAACATTCACTTTAAAAAGGACTTAGAAATCCATAGGAGCAAGATTACTTAATCTAGCATGGTATCACAAGAAAAGTAAAAAAAATAAATCTATTTCATGATGATAAAACATGTTTATAACGCTTGAAATAAAAGAAAAATAATATTAAAACAAAAGAACTTGATGATATACAAAAATCTTCAAGATCCTCTACTAATTTTCTCTGCTTGCTCCACCAAAACAAGCAAATAGCGCTCGCGCTCGCGCGCACACACACACACACTCTCTCTCTCTCTCTCTCTCTCTCTCTCTCTCTCTCTCTCTCTCTCTCTCTCTCTCTCTCTCTCTCTCTCTCTCTCTCTCTCTCTGTAATGGAGTCACTCACTCACTCACTCATTCTAAACACTCTCTAAACTCTCTAAATCATCTTTAAAACTCAATAATCCTCCTAACACACTCAAGTGACTATCTTTAAGTAGATCACACCTCCCTAACTGTCACTTCAAACAAAAAATTGAAATTTGAAATGGATATTTATTCTGTTAGGGATGTCACATTGTAACATAATAGTTATGGTGCTTAGGCATTATAGTAGGTGTTACGGTGCTCTAGGATTGGTACTGAGGTGTCATGCTATCAGGTTAATGATCCTTTAGGCTGGTTTCAATAACATTAAAAATCTAGCAGTAATGGCACCGATGCACTAAATTTGATAACAAGCACTCAGAGGTGCTGCGTAGGCTCTGTGCTCTTTATTTTGGGCTCCTTTTATCTTTGGTGGTATCATGGCACTTAAGGCTGTAATCCAGCCAAGTGGAGCCGAGTATATCATAATTCAGACTTGGCTTGATATAATTATAAGTTGTTCATGTTCGACTTGAGCTTGTGTCGAGCTTTCGTATATTTTCCAAGCTTGTCTTTTTTAAATATTTCAATATTTAAACTTGATTTGTTCTTGATTTGTTTATGACAAGTGAATGAGTATTTAAATGAGCTAAAAATTCAAACTAGTATATTGATATTCATACAAAAATTCAATAAATAATTTTACAAATTTGATCCTACCTATTAATTTATTGATTTTAAACCATAAACCCTATAGTATCTTAAATCTCGTTTATCCTCCATTTTGCCCTAAGTCCCTCACTTGTGGGCTATTTAGTAGAACGGCTTGTGTATTTAAGCATGATTTAACCTAAATCCTACCAAACAACTAAAATGCCAACTTTAAAACCTACTTAAAATTGGGTATTTGGCTATCACATACGATATGAGCCATTATCAAGCTATCAAAAAATAAATTAATGCTCTTGTTAATTAAATTTTATTTATGATACAAGCTATTATTGAGCATAATATCGAATATTTAACAAGTTACTTGTTTAACAATAAGTGAGTTTGTTTGTAAACATAAATGAACAAGTATGATCAGTTCATTTAAGGTTCGAGTTTTTAAAAATTATTCAAGTTTGTTTATTTATAAATTGAACGTACACGATAGAGTCGTAATTGAGTTGAGTTCGAGTTGTTCATTGAGTGCATTGGTTCATTTACAGACCTAGAAACACTCCACTATGACACTATGACATTGAGTTTTGAGCGCCTAAGCTCTGAGTGAATGACACCTAGACTTTGATCTCTCGAAAAATAACATGATCTCTAGTTCAAAATGGAGCTAAAGTGCCAAGTACAATGCCGAGGCACTCTATTAAAAGTTGCCAAATCTTTCTGAATTCCTTTTAAGGAGTTTTTCTACACGAAAACACACATAAAACTGTGATAAAATATGAATAAATATAAAGTAAATACATTTATATGATATATATTGTTATATAAATTTTTATCTTACATGCATATCCTATGAAGATCCTTAAATCTCTTTCAGACTTCATAGATTACCTCTTCTCTAACTAGGTAAATGAGGCGATATCATTCATAAGCTTAATAGTCCTATAAATGTTTTGTTATAAATTTCTCAACAAAATTTTTCTCATCTCTTAAGACACAACCTAGGAATCATAACATCATCCGAGGCACCATTATACCTAAATGTTGCATAGAGTTCCAAAAAACCATCTTTGTGTTAATTAACATCATATAGGTGATCCTCTAAATTGATTATTGTAAATTATTAGAATTATTAAGGGATTAATTTCAAAGGTTTTCACATGTATATAGCTCTATTGATACTCTAATGATTATTTTCTATCAGCGGGTTGGCAAAGTCCTAAAGTGGTCTAGGTTGATCAT